CTCCCCCTCTCCCTCTCCCTCTCCCTCCCTCCCTCCCTGTTCACCTTGTTAAGTTATATGCAGGTAAAGATTATCATTATATTTACCCTTTGTGCTCTAGTTTATCCCAATAGATTTCATAAATGATGCAACATTTCTCTCCCATGCGGCTCTTAGGAAAGAACGCACTTAGTTTCGTTGGTCTCCCAGGTTGAGTATGCTCGACATTGCAGTGTGGCTTGTGACGTAACGCATCTTCTTGGAGATGTGTGCAATCAGCAAGTGTTTGCGTCCATAGTCCGGTATCTAAGCCACCTGTTGTGATGGACAGTTCTGCGGATATCTCTAGTAGTTCAAGGTTAATATTTCTGAGAACCTTTTTACATACATTATGACCGTCTACTGTTTGAAATTATTCTTTCGCCGAAATTCATTGGAAAAATAATTCATGCTCAACCGCTGGCATACTGTTTTCCCCAGGCTGTTTACAGTTATCGTATCAGCAAAGAAAGCCACGCGGACAATGTTTCATCATCTCTCTGACAAGCTCCCAACGTCACAGACGCGGATGTCCTCAGAGACATTTCGTGGCATTGCTGGATGCCGCTGCTAACTGATGCACTGTATATGACAACTGTGTTGAACGGTGTACTGATGGCTCCCAGGCCAGACTTATTTCTTGTATTTTCTCGTTTTGAACTCGCATTCCGAGTTCCGATTGTGCAATGTGCGCAGTGTAGAGCCGTTCCGCGCTTGCTTCTACGTCAAACGAACAAAAAGCGATCCAGTTTTTGTTTGACTTTCCATCCTGCGCAAATATCCTGCAGCAATTCTGCACGGTAGGTGCGATTTAACATTATATGTGGGGTTATTAGAGGCCATAGCCGGCCCTGGTCATTGCGCCTGCTATTAATCGTTTTGACAGCTTTGTTGTGGTCCCTATTTAGGGGTTGGTGGCCTGACGGCATTTTCTCACGATCTCCGCGTCAGCCGGAAGTAGAGCTGGGGAAGGGACTGTAAGGAGCGCCAGGTGGACTGCAAGCCGGGCGGTGCGGTGGCGGACCCTTTCCTGCCACCACTTATCATGCAAACTTGAATCGCACCCCTTCTAGTGAGTCAGTCGCTCAGGTATGGGAATGCCCCTATCATCATCATCATCATCATCATATTTATTTGACATCATTTGAGGACAAAACAAGGAGAACATATCTTCATAACATAACCGTGACACATGGAGATACAAACACAGCACGGCACAACAAAGTCACGTTTGCAAAGCACGGGCAGCTTTTTACATCAGGCGGACTAGGAGAATCAGTTTGGATGTATTGTTACAAGCAGCCTTACTAGCTGCCATGACTCGGCGCTGTTGCTGTCCATCAGCCAGCTGAGCGAGTCCGCAAGGCCACACTCGGGCCTGGGCGTGTGCACCCAGTCTCCGTGTATATGACCGCTGGCAGCCTCCAGTACCCTCATGAAGTTTCCCCCACATAGCGACATTAGATGGCACACAATAGAAGCAGATGTTTCCGCGAATCTCGCATTGGTCGCCAACTGGGCCAGGCTACTCACCAGCACACAACGGAGGCGGTGTTGGCCACGAAAAACGTTTTGAGTAGCGCGAAAAATAGACCGCCGAACGAGAGCTTGTACACTTGGGATGCGAAGTGCCGCCATTAGTGCGGAGTGGTGGGCAGTGCGCGGTAGGCGTAGCGCGCTTTTGACCGCCGAGACTTGCCAGCCTTCGAGGCGAGCAATATCTCCAGAGCTTAAAAAACAGACCTCACATCCATAAATCAGAACAGGAGCGACAATCATCCGCCATAGAAATGCCTTATCAACAGCGGAGAGGTGCTGATTAAACATGCCGGCCGGCGTTAGGCCAAAGAACGCACCCCTGCTCCGCTGAATTCGGGCAGTCACCTGATCGGCACCGTGTAGCTGGGAGCGCAGCTCAACACCCAAGTGTGTGGTTTCCTGTCGGTGCTTCAGGATCTGTCCACATAGCTGCCACTGAGGCGTCCGAGAGAGGAACTCGGCCCCGAATATAAAGCTGTGACTCTTGGTCAAACTTTGGTTCACATGTACAAAATCTATCCTCCACAACACTGAGAAGGAGGAGACGATATGAAGCATTGATTGAAGATCGCGTGCGCTACTCGACATAATCAGAATATCATCAGCATATGCAACTGCTGGGATGTGGTGGCCATACAGTGTGGCGCCCAAGCGACAGTCATCGAGCTGTTGGATGAGCGGGTATAGCTGTTGGATGAGCGGGTATGGCTGTTGGATGAGCGGGTATAGCTGTTGGATGAGCGGGTATATAACGCGGGTATAGCGGGTATAGAACGCTCCCTCCTATATCGGAGGGAGCGTTCAACATGCAAACTTACAGCCGGTAACTACATTGCTGTACCCTTTGTAGTAAGCTTCATGGTGAACGTATACGAATACGAAATAGGTAAACCCGTATCAGTCCGCAGTCAGCGGGGACTTTTCTCCACTCCTACAGGTGTGACCAGACGTCTATAGCAAGCAAAGGACAGTATCAAAAGTCACAGCTAGTTGGCGTATGTAACCAGCGTGTTTGACTGATTCACAGCAGGAAATTATTGGCCGCCCCGGGTAATTCCGCGCCGGGTCGCTCGCCCAACTCCCAGCTGTCTTTGTTGTCCGCCCTGCTGGCGGGCTTTGAGGCCAGGTTTCCGGCTGAGGGCGGTGTTCTCTCCGTGTTTGCGTCGCCTCGGTACCCGTGAGCTCACCACTCTACGACCGGCCTCCCTGTTGTTCTCGCGCCGTGCGGCCACCGTCATTAGACGGACTGCCTCAGGCGTCAGCGGTTGTCATGGTAACGGCGCCGCCACCGGTTACGACTCGTGGTTGCGATGGTACGCTGCGGAGTGCGGATGCACGTCCCTTGGACGAGTCTTTATAGGTTTGGGTCGCGCTTGGACATAATGGCCTGAAGAAAGCATCATTATGCTTCATCGGTATCGACCAGGTTTATTCAAATTGTGTTTACGATAGCATGCAGCAAAGTTAAGCTTCCATTTTGATAGTGTGTGAATAGCTCAGTAGCGCAATAGGTAACCTCTCTGGCTTATTTTCCAAAGGGCGCTTAATTGAACCGTCAGTGGAACTTCAATGCAGCAAGGGTCTTCAAAACAATGGGTGACCACTTAGGTGAGTTTATTGAAGGAGATATGCTGTAAGTGACTTTAATGTACACGTATAGGTGTAATAGAAGCTGTTGTAATCAAATTCAGCATCCAACATAAATTTACACCGGGTTATGGAGTTGTTCCCGACCGTGAAACAAATATTCCTGCATATTCCGTACATCCCTGAGACAGCGCGCCTTTGGGGTGAGAGGGGCGTTACCCAGCTCGCAGGGTGGCCTACGGTCGTATACCGGGCCACTTTCTCCCATCTGTGAGACAGCTGTTCGGCGCAGAATGGTCCGGTGGTCCTCCTCACCTCGCCTGTCCCCAGGCAGATCGTGCATGTGTTGTCTTCTCACGGTGTACTGATCCCTGTTGTTTCGTGATGGCCTGTTGGAAGTCGTGCGTAACTGAGCACCTCGTCACGACTCTGTGTCCCTCCTGCAGCTCGCCCTGTCCTGTGCCTCACGAGAACATCTCCGTCCCGTCAAATATCGTCCCATCTCATTCCCGTCGTCTTTTCTCGTTCCATTTATGTGTTCACGCCTGTATGTGTTTCAGCATGTGTCGATGTCCGTTTATCGAAAGTATCTGTACGCGTGAGTATATCTGTTCGTGTGTACGTGCGTGCGTGCGTGTGTGCGTGCGTGCGTGCGTGGCTGACGCCGTGAGGAGAGCGAGCGGTGGCCGTTTCAGGCCACTTGAGGGCAATGCACCCAAATGACACGAGTGCGATCCGTGTTTGCCTTGCTGTGGTTTATTAGCAAAGCGATAACGAAACAGCTTGAACACACTCGTGAAATGCTCTTATCATCTAAAATCGGTGTTCTAAATAAGCATAGCCTGATTTATTTAAATGGTAAACACGTATGTTCACAGAATCTCATACATATGCCTGTGGTTTTCTTGAAACTCTGAATGGCTCTTGTTGAGAAGACGTTGGCGTTCTTCACTGATCGTGAAGTACACTTAATGTTACATTCGCTTTGTCCGCCAAAAAATCTTAATTATGCATATTACTCATGCTTTTACATGTTCTAAGTTTTGCAAATTGTGAAGACATGACCTAAATTTCCCCTCAGAAAAGGTGTTGTGCAGTTATTTCGGTGAAATTTGAACTATTGAGTTAGACCCTACTGCTAATTGCAGTAGCGGCTATACCACACGGTCCCTGCGGTGGTTTTCCATTGTGACCTGGCAAATTAGAATGCGCAGGGTGCTGGCGATATCTTACGGACTAGACTATAAATGAAGTTGATTTATTTTCGGAGCTGAGTGATATCAATCCATTATGTGCCGGAAATTAATTTCCATTATTTTTGACACACGTTTCGTTTCAAGTTTCAATGTTCTCTAGAAAATGGTTTATTCTCGCCAATGCCATTACGAACTTTCTTGGCAAGGTTTTGGGCAGGAACGACAATTTCATTCAATTTAATCGGGGCGAGTTTTCTATTAATCCGAAGTGCTTGAATAGAACTCGTCAATGCACAGGCACCTATACTATTCCAAAGTATCTGCTAAGACTGGCGTGGGTCTATTTATCGCCCACTCAACCATTCACTCGAGGAACTCTTAGCAGCCTCCACCTTCAAACACACACACCCAATTGAATCAGCTATGCAATTGAGAATTCGAGACATACCCGCCCACTCGGAAACAGCGCAATGGCTCGCTCGAACGGCGGACGTTGCTGCCGCAGAGAAGTCGCCGGCTGTCGGCTGTCGGACATCGGCTGTCCTGTCTGACATCACTGGATCGCTCAGCGGACGGCAGTCGTTTCCGTGCCACCAGGCAGGGTGTCTCGTGGCCCAGTATCGCTCGCCCTGCGGTCGCTTCGGCCCTGGTGTCGTATCACCCGAGTCAAGGGCTTCCGGCTTAGCTGTGGGTGTTATTTTTAGAGGTGCTGAGTGGCTTATAGGGTCTCAGCGGAAGGGCAGGGGAGTAAGACAAATGCCTGAGTGTGTCGGCGTATAAAGTCAATCCTGTAAGACGCGAAAACGGTTTGTCGCATGTGACGTGAATTGATTGAAAAGAATGGCTGGGAGCATAGCGTATTATTTTGGAGGTTGATGGGCTTCTAGGAAATTGTTGAACAGGGTTGTTGGGGTTGGACAGTTATCGGTGGTTCGTGCCGGTTGTTGTTGTGGGCTGTGGCATGAGGCGTGAGGTAGTGTGGTTAGTGGATGACATATGCCAATGAGTGCAGACGCAGGGTGGATGACGAATTGATGGTAGACAGCAGACGGTGGATATATGGGGAGGGGTATAGGCGTTAGACTGCAGACGGTGGGGTTAGGCGTTGGGCTCCAGGTGATTGACATTGAACGGTAGACTGTGGCCGATAGCTCTCCCGGTCGGTCCTTGCCCTGTCTCTCGGATCGGCCCGTTCTCTCCGGGTTGGCCCGTGTCCGGTCAGGCGGGGTCGGATTGGCGGATCGGGCGGTAGATATAATGTCTGTATAAACAGAGTTCTAAATACATTGTGACGGTGGTCGCAGGTCGGGTGTAAACGGTAGACGCTGGGTGGCACCCTGTTGTAGACGGAAGGCCTCCACTGGGTCCGCCCGTGTCCGGTCGTAGTGGTGTCGGATCGGCGCCGTGACCCGGTGTGGAGCCGGGTCACCCGGTGGTGCCGATTATCACCGGTCGGGCGGGTCGGAGGCCAATGAACCGGAACCGCCCTGCGGCTCCGCTGCCGGTCGCAGTGGCTGATATGACAGGCTCGGTGGGTCAGGGAACAAGTATCGCGGTGGTTACTGGTTTGGCTGTTTATCGCCAGGATTGGAAAGTTTTCAGCTAAGTAAACAAGCAATTGAACGAGTATCAAACTGCTGTGATTAAAGAAAAAAGGAAAATTGGGCGAAAGCAAATCGTTAGGCGGCACGGGCGGACATCGATAGCAGCGCCTCTATCGGTCACTCGGAAAAGCTGGGCTGTAGGCGACGAAATACCGGCTGAGTTGTCACACGTTGAATAGGTTTATAGCCATCCGTCTTGTGAAAAAGTTGAACTTTTGCCTTTAATATTTCTTTAGGCAATTTTAGAAGTGTCTTCACATGGATTACAAAACCGTTTAGATTATTGTATTCACTTCAAGCCTTTCCTATTGTTCTTGATGATGCGGGAACTATTTATAATTAGTGTTTCCAGCTTAGTAAAAGAACATACTGTGCAAACGATGAAAAAAGCATAAATGGAAGATTTTAAATGCAATTTTCTCTAACAATTAATGGTAAATTCTCTACATATCAAAGAAAAGGTGCATGCTGGCTGATAATTTAAAGTTCTTGGGGCCAGTTGTTTTCTTCTTTTCTTACGTCGCCCCAATGGCCGCGAATACACTTGTGATAACGCCTATCGTAAGTTTGGACCACACATCTCTCTACACCTAGCCACGCATTCCACTTAAAACTAGCCGTGTAGATTAATTTGGTAGGGTTGTGTAATGCGTCGGGCCTGCCTTCGCTCTGAATGGTGGTGCGAGATTCGATTGTGTCCATCGTCTGTGATTTTGGTGTTATTGGGGTGCCGTGAGTTTGCTTGCATCATTTTGTCTAACCGCCTGGTTTCCACGCCTTTCCTCTTTCAATCGTCTGAATATTGACCATAACTATTACTCGCTCTAACAGCTGGTATTTTATTTCTCACACATTGAAACAATGACGGTGGCAAATTCGAGCACATCTCTGAACATCGTCAGATACTCTCTAAGCTGTCACAGCTGGCAACATGAATCATGCCAATCACCGTGATGGACAACTTTATCTTTTCATCGACATCACACCACGGTCGGTTTGGGCTCTCTGAACTCGGTCACACTCGAGGCGTGACCACGTGCAGCGCTCGTGGTGAGGTCGTGATGGGCTCTATCGAATTCACGCTGACTGGCACAGTGCCCCTGTGGATACCACGGGCACCGCCAGTTTCAGAGTATACTGGCAAAAATAGAGATGAAGTGAAACTTATTGATTGTTTTTTGGTAAAACCTCCTGCACCGATTAAGTGTAAAATCGTATCATTATAGACTAATGAGAGCATTTATGATAGTAAAACGAAGTGACTTATTGCAATGATCTTGTGAAGATTGCTGCAATGCACCATCATGCCGTTTTAATTGCTTTCATTAGTCTATATGCTGAGGCGGCATGTGGCATGTTGGTCGCCAAAAACGAGTTGCGCAGTACGCAATACAGAATTCAGCTGGCCTCTATGGGCTCCCTAATTTAATTCACGGGATGGCGAGGGCCGGATAGACCGAAAGGTCGGCAGACAGTGTCAAATGGGTTCGGCTGAAGGTGCACCATTGACCGGCAGCACGTGCAGCACGTGTGGCGCCGCGTGTATCACGTGCGACGAAAATTGGGCACGTGCGGGACTGCTGACTGCCTGTCTTTGAGCGTCAGCCTGGTAGCATAACGACTAGGTTAGTCGCGGGAGAAGCATGGTAAGTGGTAGACGTAGACGCTGTGAAGTGGACTGAAATCGAGCTCGTTTCGTTCGTGCTGAGAGGAGGCTGCCAGGAGAACCAGAAACCGGAACTCCTTGCCGTACAGTTCAACTATCAATGCTGAGATTTGCAAAATATTTGGTTAGATCATACCTCCTATTCATTGATGAATTACCTACGTAAACTTTGGATCATTTGACACAGCAAATATCGTTGATTGACAACGATGACCATGTGTCGAAATGATGTGCCAGCTCTCCGCATCGCTATCGGCTTCTTTGACCGACGTGGGGGCTCCTCATCCGTTTATTTATCTCCCCCATCATGCACCGTGAAACCTCGCTAATCCGGCCACACTCTTGGCGTCATTAACTGACCCTGCCCTCTTCTCCGGTAGGCGCCGGCAGCGTGGATAAGCCGCTGGCCACGCTCTGGAGAAACTACTGCCAGTCGACCAAACCGGACATCGAGATGCGCGTGACGGTGGCCGTCTCTGGCCTCAAGGCCACCACTCGGGAGCACGGCCTCACTGAGTACTGGAGCCACCGCATCACCTACGCGTTCGCACACCCCAGCTACCCGAAGGTGAGAGGAGATGAGTTACAGAGCTTTAAAGGGTATTGCTTTGAAGGATGACAGGTGGGCAGTGGGCTTGCGCTATGGAAAATGATCTTGTAACTAAAATGTCGGGTGTTTCATCCTCTACATGTTTGATATGGCCTTCGTTGACTTTCGGTCATTGGAGCACAATTGCCAGCATCGACGTTTCCTTTTTGGCTGTGGATATTTTATCCCGCTCTGGCGGAGCTCCTCTAAGGGTTGCTCGACTCTGCCCCGCGTCCGCCGCCGCTATCAGCGGCTTTGCCCTTCTGTCGGGCCTATCGTCTCGGTCTCTATCGGCTGGTTTGCCCGTCTGTCGTCTCTCTCTGGCACCTCGATGGGTTTGTCCATGTTCCGGTTCCGTGACAGCGCCAACAGAGCGCCGTGTATCCGGGAAGTGAGCCGCACTGATAGCCGACTCCGAACCCACCGCCCTCGGTACGGCGGAAACCGCAACATCACTGCGTATATGTGCAGCTAGCTGGAACCGAACGATATTGATGATACGTCCGTAATATGCGTCACTTTCCTCAATTGTGTCTGAACATGCGGTTGTCGCCGAATCTGCTGCGTAGATGTTTATTTATTGAGACAATATTACCGCATATATTACGGCGATTACTTCCGTCGAGCGCGAGTTTCGAGATAAGATCTGCCCCGCCTGCGGACCGCCCTGATGACAATGGTGGGGACGGGCGATATACAGGAAGTGATTTGGTGCGAGGACAGTACGGTGGTACCCGACTACCTGTGACGGCCGGTCGACCGCAGAGGATATGATCGGTGCCTGGTGTAATCAGGCGCTATTGAGGCATGAGTCATTCTTATCGACAGGTCTCTCCGCAGTTCTGCCTGAGTGGTCTGTGAAATAGATATTGACGGCCGCATGATGTAAGGCTTCAGCGGCGTCCTGAGCGTTAGCTCGCCTCTGAAAAATATAGAGACGGGAAGGATTATCGAAAAAGATTACCGAAAAAAGATAATCGGTATAGGATTATTTTTCAACAAAAATATATATGTTTAGCGTATATGTATACGCTTTTAATATAACTATAACAGCAAGTATGTCAAAAGGAGACACAAAACATTGTCGCCCTCATTCAGGAGCCACATCTCCCGTTCCGTCATTCCACGCAGGCAGTAAGCGGTGGTCAGCTGTTCCAACTCTGTCTCACAGAACTCAGCCAACTCCGTGGGAAACTCAGACAAATCCATGGGAAACTCAGTGAAACTCTGGGAATGTCCCCGCTACGCTCACAGGCAGCCGCAGCGGCCGGTCGGCGCGGGCGCAGATCGTTGTTTACAACTACGTTTACATGTTATAAACGCGGAAACCCTGTCTGTCTGGCCCTATTTCCCGTCTCCAGTTGAAAAGGTGGACAAGTTATTGAGAGTTATTAGGTTATTGGTAGCACAGCCACAGTGTATGTATTTACGTAAGATACGTGCTGCAACTGTACCTACTTGAAACGTGGATAGTGGTTCACGTGGCAAAGACACGGCGTTAATTGACGCATCGGTAGACGGTATTATCGACTTCTCGTTGGTGTTTTTCTGTGCCTTCGTCGACTTCAAGCGGATGTCATCAGGCTTTCCCTATGGTGGATACCTATGTATTATAGCGTACCTACGGATGCTTTAGCCTTCAACTCATCGAAATTGTTCACGTCTTTTACGGTTATTCTTTGTTGTGCTACCCTGGGAATCATGAAGGTTGTCTTGTACTCTTGCGGCACGAATCATGTCTTCCTTACTACATACATAACCGGACCCCCGCGATATCCCCGTTTGAACCGTGCTCACCAGCACTCTGTCATGACTTGCAGTTCACTGCCGTTGGTGCAGCTGCCTGAAGCCCATCGGGGCCGGTCCAGGACCACGCCCTTCGGCTCTGCCGTGCCGCGGGACGGCGGGGGCGGGCCGCGGGGGAAGCACGGGGGCGGCCACTGTGCGGACGGGGTCGCTCGTGACAAGTTCTGTGACCCGTTCGTGTATGAACTCGCTGCGATTATCGCGCTATGATCGCAGGTCAGGCCAGTGCCAACGGCCTAGCCCCGCCCCGTCTCGACCCGCCCAGGCACGACCTGTTCAGGAGCTGGTTTTCAGCGGCGGGGGGGGGGTCGGACGGAGCGGGGCAAGGGTGGGGCCTCAATCGGTGGACCATGGACTGACGATGCTTCGAAACAGCGGCGTAAGCTGCTGAATAGGCACAGTCTCACCTATCGCGAGTTTTGACTGCCGACTCGGTAACTTCCTACTCGGAGACTGACAGCCGAGGAGCCGTGTATCTCTGTTTTGGCTGGACTTGCCGGCTCTGAGCTGCTGCTGCGTTAGCTACTTCCGCCACTGTTCGCTCCAGCGTTATACCACATCCCCTCAGTGCTCAGTATGCTCACCTGCTGTCCCCTATCGCCGGTAACTACGCAGCAGTGGCGGCCGTCCGGGCCGGCGCCGCGGTCGCTGCGGTCACCTGACGGGCCGTCAGGTGACGGGCCGCTATCCGTCAGGCCGGATAGCGGCTCCTGTCGATCCATTCCTTATATGTCGGCGTCGAGACGCCTGTACGGGCGGAGACTGTCGGCAGAGCGGATCGGCCCGCCTACGGTCTCCTCTCAGGCAGAGGTGCGGTCATGTGCGGGAGCTGTGAAGGTCATCATCTGCCACCTCCGGCTGGGGAGGTGGTGTGGGTGTCACCGCGAGCGCATGACTTCCTGATTGAAATGGACCGGGGAGATGTTAGGATGGACTAGTTTGGGAAAAGTGTGTTGAAGAATGGCTCGCAGCTGTGAGAAGAATGATGTTAGAATGTGTTGTTCTCACCGGCTGTGACAGTTCTGTGAGAAGAATAGCACCTGTGACATCTACTTACACACAAAGGATACATCTCTGTAGGTCATCTCAGGGTCCGTGTGACTTTTTCTGACACGGTATTGTCTGTGAGTGTGATGTGACATACCGTGACCTTGTGACGTGTTGTGGCAACTCCCTATCACTACGCAAGACGTAACTTGCCCCGCGTTCGATGTCTCCCGGACGACAAAGATTCTAATGCCGTCCGGGCCCGAAATGGCGTTCGATGTCGCACGGACGGCAAAGATTCTACGTGACGTCACGTAGAATCTTCGTCGTCCGCGCAGAATCTTTTGAGCGTACTACGGTGGGCAGAGAGGCAATGATGGCGCGTATTTCAAAAGCGACGCAGCAGCTGTTTGCAGAAGTTGTTGACATTTGTGCGCGGTCTCTATGGAAACGTAAACTTGGGCCTTTTTCGAAACTGACGCACATTGTGCAAGTGGCGCACAAAATGGCCGGTCTCGTCGTCCGCCTGTGTGCTTCATCGAACGCAAAATAGAATATTCTGCGTAGAATGTTCTTCGTCCGGGGAGACATCGAACGCGGCCTTGGTCTCCGAGTGTCTGGATCGTCAATCTCATCAGTCGTTCTATACAGTAGATTCTGTGAGGTGCTTTCTGTGTTTCTTACGACGTCATTAGTGGACAGCTGCACGGTCTTTTTTTACGACGAGAGCAGCCTGTTTCGCTCACACATGAATAGTTCACTGACCGAGCCGGATAGGGGGTATCAGCGAAAGCTAAGAACGGCGTTTTGTACTCGCCATGCACACTGCACACCTCTGCAATCTGCCGTCAAACTTGGTGCATCCATTGCTCCATAGCGTGTGGCCACGCTCCAGCATATGGCTCGCTCCCAGCGAGAGCACCGGCCGGTCGGTGGACTGCCCGTGTTTGTATGTCCGTGTGTGCGGTTTCTCGCCCCGGGGCACCTGATCGCTGTAAAAACACGCGCCGGTGGGTCGGCCGCTCGGCCGTCCACTCCCAATTAGCTGGGGCGGGGAGGAGGGCGCCGGGAGTCGGCGGGGAGGAGGGCGCCGGGGAGTCGGCGGGGAGTCACGGTGGTGCGGTGAGCTGAGAGCGAGCCCCGCCGCAGCGCTGCGGCCGAGGCGGCGCCCGCGCCCAAGGTCAGAGCGGCGAGCAGGCCCGCTCGGCGCCACGCCACGGGCGATGGAGAGGCGAAATGCTCGTCCAGTGTCTGCCCACAGAGAGAAAACAACACGGCGCAGATTTCACTTTGGGTGGGACGAGTGGATTCTGATGGAGTTTGAAAGGGAATGACAGAAGGTTCTATGCTGCTGGAAATTCATTAGCGCGACGATTCCGCACAATAAAAGCGCCATTAAACTCCAGGAATGTCATTAGCGCGCTGTGATTACCGGCTCGTTTGCGTCAGCCGTGTGAGTTCCGTCAGCTGGGGTTCGGTGAATGTCAGACACGCCGTCTCACCGGCCGTTCACTCGCACAGTCCGTATCGATATGAGTGGACCAGTCACGTGAATGATGCAGACGGCCCATGATGTGCAGCTTTACCTGTCCAAAAACCTGCCCTTCACCCAGATCGTGTATTGCGGGGGAGCGATCGGTGCTGATGGATAACCTACCGTGAACTGAACGGACGCGTGACTCCTTAGTTCGTTACAAATGTTCAGATGTTGTGCTAAAAACAATGGTTATGGTCGAACACGTGACAATAAACGTCACTCATTTGGAAGTTTATTAGCTGCCTACTGTTTACAATTAGTGCGTTCAGGGAACCAGTCCTGGTCATGTGCCATGTTTTCACCCCTCCCCGTCCCTAATCGCCCTCATGGCAGCTCAAGTTGTGTGGCCGCTCACTGACGCCCTGTGTCCTCTGTGTTCCCAGGTGTTCTGCTGGGTGTACCGTCACGAGGGGCGCAAGATGAAGCCGGAGCTGCGCTGTCACGCGGTGCTCTGCTCCTCCGAGACCAAGGCGCGCCTGATGCAGCGTCTGCTCACCGAGCGACTGCACCAGGCGCTGGTCGAGTTCAGGAAGGAGAAGCAGCTGCGGCAGAACGCCCGGCTGTCCGTGGTCAGCGTGCTGTACCCGGCCGCCCCGCGGCGGAAGGTGGTGCTCACCAACGGTGGCGCCAACTACCGGCCGCCGCTCGAGCGCAGCAAGAGCGCGCCCAAGCTGGGCAGTATCGAGGAGGACCGGCTGGGCGAGGAGGCGGCGGACGCGGCGGCGGCGCGCGAGGCGGCCGCCCGCCGACCGCCGCCGGTCCCCTCCCTCGCCGAGATCGCCGAGGAGGAGGAGGAGGAGCGGACTCCCACAGCGCCGCGCTCCCCCCGACCCCGCGCCTTCAGCGAGCCGGCCGAGCCGCCGCCGGCCGTGTGCCGCCACCCGGCCGACCCGACCGCCACCCACGACCCGGCCGACGACTCGGACGCCGCCAGCGAGCACAGTGCCGCCAGTGTGCCCAGCGACCCGACCGGCGACAGCGACTGCGAGACCCTGGTGCTGGCCACCACGCCCGAGCAGTGCCGCGTGTACAGGATCACCGGCTCCGGCCGCTCGCCGCCGGACGCGGAGGACGCCTGTCACCGCCTGCAGGGCGTCGTCGACTTCGGCGCCCACTGGAACTCGACCGGCTGGGTGCGTGTGCCCGACGAGGACACTGCCAGTGACGAGAGCGGCTACTCAGAGGAGCCGCTCAAGGCCGAGTGACCGCGCACCGCGAGGCAGAGGACAGATCTAGTCAGGGCGCGCGGCGCAGAGTCGGCGGCGGGTCGCAGGCTCTCTGTGTAATGTGCTCACTGGCTGGAGGGTTCCACCGCTGCGGGACGCCGCGGCAGGTCGCCCGGCGCCGTCTGGCCGTCTCTGATATACTCACTGGCATGTGTTGCATATTTATTGTTGGTGTTTGGCTGCGCACGTGTCGCTGTTCGCCCCTCGTGTCTATGTGCCAAACGGCGAGCGGGGCCGGCCTGCTCCTCCCGGTCGACGGGGTGTCAGTCGCTGCCCAGCGGGCCCCTCCGGGCGCCGGGCGCCGCTCCATTGCGGTGTCTCTGTTCTGTTTGTCACTGTTGTTACGGCCGGCCTGGCCTGGTGGGGACCCAGTCTGTTCCGCCCCGGCCGGCGAGCGGTCGAGACACAACCCCACCCCGAGACCGGGCGATATATCCTGTCTGTGCTACTGTCTACTGATGGAATGTGATACGTGATCGCGTATGGTGTAGTACAAGTCCGTAACACATGTATTAAATATCATGAATAGTGAATAAATTGTATCAAAGCTGCTGAGATTGTCGCTGACCTACCGACAGATTAGACAAATGCTTGGGTATCTAGCTTCAATGTATAGTCGACTACAGAATGATGTTCCACTTTTACAGGCAATTATTTGCCTGGAGTGGTAGGCTGTGCCGCATCACACGGGCTGAGTTCACAAATTATAGCTTTGTCGCAATGCTCACAATCAACACGCTTAATCGCGTTATAAACGGCACAACTTAGCGTTCCGGTCAACTGATAGCTTCTGAGGAGTGGAACATCATTTTGTAGTCGACTATACACCGAAAGTCCGCGTAGAATTTAGCTTCGAACGTTTAAACGTATCCATACGGCGCAACTGGCTCACCGGCATTATTTGGTCTGGAACACGATTTCTGCCAGCGTATCACTAACCGAATGTTCGTCAGCATCATATTGCAAAAGCTGGAGCTGGACCACCAAGCTCTAGCCACCGTGTCGTTCCGGTTAGCTTCGGAGGGAGACGGTCGCACAATTCAGCTACGATTTACACGCATACACCAATAACAACCTGCACATATCGCCATTTCCGAGAATCTGAGATGGTAGACTGACCCGCAATGCACGAAGCGACTGTCAGCTGGGGAGAATCTGAGATGGTAGACTGACCCGCAATGCACGAAGTGACAGCGCGCTCGGGTAACGCTACGATTCGAAAACGGGAGCAAGGGCGGCGCCACCGTGGGGGCAGTGGGGGCAGACTGCCCCCACTGACAGGAGGCCGTAGGGGCAAGACTATGTTTTTGCCCCCACAAAATTTGGCTGATGTTGAAAAGGGAACACAAGACCGGTGCAACATTCATGATAGGCGGTTATAATAGTACGCCTGTTTTTGACGGTCCCCGTATCAAATGCATCAGCAGAACGTTCGTTTTCGGACCGTCTGTCACATATCTCCTACTCCCACTCATTATCCTACTCATTTTCATTTGCACCAGAAGGCTGCCCTCAAGCTTGACCTCGAGGAAGTTGAGAGGCAGTTTGTCAAAAGTCGGCCAGAGAAGAGATCACCTTGGGAACCCTTAGACTGATACTGAGCTCAGGGAGGTATGCAAAAATGTGATAGGTAGGTATGCATATCCGTGTTATCTGGAAATGTATGCATGGGTCGCCCTAATGGAGCTTATTCTGGTATACCAAACCAATCGTGTATGAGAGAATCGCACATATACGTACTACGGTAAAAAGGGAACTAGGTATTGTCTATTGTTTTGAGGAATACACCATTTTACATCTCAACGAACAACATAACGTTTTCATAGGTTTGTTTCTCCCAATCTAATTTTATAGTTTTATTTGCTCGCGACCTTAACCCGGCCGGGCCCGGGGGGGTAATTCCAACCACCGCAGTCCGGGTCATAGCCCCCCACCCACCTGTCTAACTCGGTAAACCAGTATAACGCCTTTTGGGGCGACTAACGGAGCGAGCGAGAGGGTGAGCCTTGCACGTGCGAAATTTCGACGAGGTACTTACCTCCAGCTGACTTGTGCACGGCACCCTACTAACCGGTCTCTAGCGATGTGCCAAATTTGAGCACAATCGGCCCAGCCGTTCTCGAGATCTGGAAGCGGCACCCTGCACGTGCGCACGTGCAAAATGGGTCCCAACTGAGTTTTGCACGGCACCCTACTAACCCGTCCCTAACCATGTACCAAATTTGAGCGCGATCGGTCCAGCCGTTCTCGGGATCTGGAATCGACCCCTGCACGTGCGCACGTGCAGCAGCACCCCAATTCTGGCACATGGATATGCATTGCCTAGTGGGTGCCTACCTACATGCCAACTCTCAGCGCAATCGGCCCAGTAGTTACCGAGATATTGCAACAATTACAAAAGTGACACCTCTTCGTTTTGCACGTGGCACGTGCATAAGGGGTCACCCACATGCATCGGGAATAGTGCAATACTTGGTAGAAGGAATGAAGCTACCCTACAAAAATTACCGCATGTAAATCGGTCAAGTGGTTGCTGAAATATAAGCCTCGCAAAAGCGTGACCACGGCCGGCCGGCCGGCCGGCCGGCCGCTCATACTCAGAAATTTCCGTTAATCTAAGGAAAGACTACGCTCGCTTCGCTCGCTCCGTAATAAGGCAGCTACGGAAATAAAAATGGTATCAAACGAAAGGTATCTACGATAAGATTCTTAAACACCTAAACTTTTTGACCTCAGGTCAATTTGAAGGTCAGAAGTCAAGGTCAAAGGCAAAAACCGGCAATTTTGTAGTGGTCTCAAAGAACGTGTTCCAGAGGACGGTATGGTGCATAAAACTGGCTAAAATGGATGTTAAACGAAAGAAGAGAGTCTGGGTATTCCGATGATGTGCTAACATTCAAATTCAAGGTCACGGTCATGCTCAAAATTGACCACAAACTTTGCACTTTTTTATATATTGTATACTAAATTCCGAGATGTTTTGAAATGTTTTGAAGCTTAGCGGACCCCTAGTTGTGCTTTAGCTTACGATACAAGGCTGCTACAAGGTCAAAGTCACAAGAGAGTATCCTTGCTAGAGGCTATTTCACTTATTCAAGTCAGGCATAACAATTAAGACATGTTTTGCCATCCTGAGGCTCTACATGAATGCTTAGAGCAAAATGGATGCCAGAATCGTGATCAGCGGCTACGAAATCATCACAAACGAGCAAACGACATTTCATGTGTCAAAGTCAACCAAAGGTCATTCGAGGTCACATGAGGTCAACATAAAACTTGACTTTTTCCAAACAATATATAAACCATTCGACGTGTCTCGACGAGACGAATGCGCAGTACCACTGCCGTAGCTCTAGGACCTTTTTTGTTGAAGTTACTTGCAAAAAAAAAAAACTAAAGCCCCAGCTCGGGGTCGTTGACCTGACCTATGACCTCAGGTCACCAAAGTTACTTAAGTATTTTTTTCTAGAACAAATGCTACACAACCGTGCTCGTAATTTGTCTCTATCTCTAAAACCTTTTTGGCAATGGTTGAAGTTCACGTCTGTGACGCCGAAGTTTGCCATGCAGGAGTCTAGAAAAATCGGCCCTGAGACGTTATCAAGCAGGCTAGGTCCAAATTTTTTGCTTCAAAAGATGTCAAATTAAGGGGGGATAAGGTGTAGCAAGTTTTGTCTTTCTATCCCGAAGCGTTCGTGAGGTATCGCAAATATTCGCCAGGGGGAGGCGACCCCCCCCCTTCCGGGTCCGCGAGGGTACTCAACGCGTATGCATGAAACCTGAAACCATAAGTTTTGAATGGCAACATCTAGGGGCAAGGTGCTCTGGATTTTGCAGATCGGCGTATCAGACAACAGTCGGGTCACCTCAAGCTTGCCCCCACTGGCGAAAATTCGTGGCGCCGCCACTGAACGGGAGGGAAGTTTTACACTACAAAGCGAGCATCGGTGAGTTCGGATCAGTCAGGGTATCGATACCGCTATAAGAGGGTGCAACCAGTACATGGGTGAAACTTATCAGATATCAGTATCTACTACTCATCAGTCTGACAAAAGAACCCGCTAATATCTCAGCTTCCTCGGTAGTGGCCGTCGTGGGTCAGTTGCGTACCAAACGGATGCATGTTGGTACTGGGAAAAATGCCTCAGTGCGAACTATTAGCTCTATTACGGCCGCACGGTCGCTATGGTTCTTTCTGGTAACAGTATATTCGTTCGTTATCTCCTGGTAGCAGTTTCTGATTTGTTTCCACAGCTCTGTGAGGCCGGGTGAGCTCATTTCCGTTCCAACTCGGTCACAGTTGAGACACGGCCTCGACGAATGCCGGAACGGTCTCCAGCCGTAACCGATCGCAGGGTACGCGGTAGATAGAGGTGCAAACTGCAAAGTTCCTAGGAGTTCAACTTGACAAATCCGTTTGCTTTGCCCTTTCATGCGCGCGGCACATATTTTACCTGGCGGATCTGCGCAGGTCATTTGAGTCAGAGAACACGATAGTAATTAACGTTTGCAAGCACCCATTGTATCCATAAATAGAATCTTGCGCCCGCGGCAGCGTTTCAGAGGCTGAATGGGCTAGCAGCTTCAAACGGACCTCAGTCATGCTTGGCTAAAGGGTTATCGGTCATCCGGTGTATTCACGTGCACTAAATTTAGATATGTACCTACATTTTCAGGTAACTTCCGTCATACAACGGTGGCTGTCAACACTGATTGCTGGGCGAAAATATCTTGGAATGAATTGAAGATCTTGGTGTCTATTGCCTAAACGAAATGATCATTAATAAGCCGTTAATGTATTGAAAGAAGAAGACTAAAAAGTTAACCCTATTAGTGGCAGGCTCCTGGCTACCCCTATTAGTGGCAGGGGGGCTGTTTACGACCCCCCCCCTGATATCTCGAGATCTAACGGGCCGATTTTCAAAATTCAAACGGCATTCGATTTCGCTCAAAGTGATCTACATTTCTAAAAAATAAAGATTAAAAAAATGTTAATAGGGGGTAGAGGGGGGTAAAAACGGGCAAATTGCAGACACATTTTAGACTGTTTATCAGTTCACGGCCAGGTTTCTGAACCAATCTTAACGTAACTTTTGCCGATCGATAGAGAATGAACCAGGAATTCACATGGATCCTAAAAATATGCATTTTCAAAAATCATAGGCGAATACAGATCATTGAGATTGGGGGTGCACAAAAAGTATAGTAAATAAGGTTTTTGTTGGTACTGTTTCTAAAAAGGGTGGCAATGGTCTTGTTATGTAACAATTTTATTATGAGAGAACGACTACAATTGTATTGGTCATGCATAGGCAGTGTCAGGGCACCTATGTTGGGAGGTAAAACATAACCCCCCTTTTTGGACGCCTGGATCCGCCTATTATAGCAAAAACGTGTCAAAAGAGGATGCACAATAACTTTGTATATGTTATCACATGATACCTTTCATTCACTGTTCATAAAACTGGTGCATACAGTTATAATACATCAGCATCGTGATCTTCGCCCAAATGACTCGCTTCACGAATAGGACCCCCCAATTCCCAGTGC